TCTGTGAAGTTCTGAACAAAGCAATTGCTAGTTCAATTGAACTTACTAAGACAATTCCAAGTCCAATTGAGCTTAGCGATGTCTTAGTTCAGTATTTTCCAACATTTACTAAGCTCATAATGTTGAGAACTTTATACCAAGTTCGTCAAAATCTTCCTCGTTACATGCAACGGTCATTCGACAAGACAATTGCCGAATTCCAAGTCTTTAGTTACGGATATGACCAAGATGAATACGTTGACGATTCGGAGACAACTGTACAAATGGTTTGAATGCTATACGACAACACAATTTGAATTCGACTTTCTCGAATTCAACGCAGCAACCATTTATATCATTGCTCTTTACCTTTCCGAACAACAACAAGACCTCGCAGATGGAGATTGTTACTGTCGTCATGGAAACTCCTGAACAATTCGGAAAAAAGAAGTCTCTAATTGCCAAATTTGTTCCAGGACATCAGCTTTTCCAACGCACAGAAGTCTCTGTATTCCTGGAACTAAGTTCTTTGTCAAGAGCGAACTCAAAACAAAGATATAATGTGTCATTCAATTACACATTATATAATGTTTTCGACCCAGAAGAAGACTTCTTCCCAGAAGCAATGGAAGAGGAAGAAGAAGAGAAACACGAAGAAGAGAAACACGAAGAGTCCTCCGAATTCACACCAGAAGACTAACAATTTTCCGAATAAAAACCTCATTTTATACTAAACATCTTCGGGGCTAGAGGGCACGAAGTGCCTGGAAGCCCCACTACCTTTTTTTTTTTTTTTTATATTATATAAAAAGTCTCTTTAATATCTATATTTCATATTTTTATCGATTTTTAAAGTTTTTGCGAAAAGTATTCAATTATTTTTGCTATTTGGTCGGGTAAATGTCAGATTTGCGACATTTTCTGATATGATATTCAGATTCTACGTTGATAATAATGCTTATAGTGTTGTAAACAGAAATTCATCAAAAGTGACACCTCAGAAAAGCTAAAATATTTGAATTTTTGGAACTTTTGATAGAGCACGTTTTTAAATATTAATTAAAGTAAATGTATATTTTGTAAAGATTCTTTTTAATAAAAAAATAAAATTTTGAAGAAGAACACAAAATCTTCTGAAAAATAATATCACATAAACTCATATTATTTTCTAATATATAACTATTTTATATAAAAATCAAAAAAAAAAAAAAAAAAAAGGTAGTGGGGCTTCCAGGCACTTCGTGCCTTCTAGCCCCGTTGATGTTTAGTATAAAATGAAAGTCTTTACGAAGAAGAACTTTACAAAACATAGACAAGAAAGTTCATGAGGAACTCTCAACAAAGTCTTTACGAAGAAGAACTTTACAAAGTCTTTACGATGAACTCTCAACAAAGTCTTTACGAAGAAGAACTTTACAAAACATAGACAAGAAAGTTCATGAGAAAGTCTTTACAAAGTCTTTACGAAGAAGTCTTTACAAAGTCTTTACGATGAACTCTCAAGTCTTTACAAAGTCTTTACGATGAACTCTCAACAAAGTCTTTACAAAGTCTTTACAAAACATAGACAAGAAAGTTCATGAGAAAGTCTTTACAAAGTCTTTACGAAGAAGTCTTTACAAAACATAGACAAGAAAGTTCTTGACAAAGTCTTTACGATGAAGAAGTCTTTACAAAACATAGACAAGAAAGTTCTTGACAAAGTCTTTACGATGAAGAACTTTACAAAACATAGACAAGAAAGTTCATGAGGAAGTCTCAACAAAGTCTTTACGATGAAGAACTTTACAAAACATAGACAAGAAAGTTCATGAGGAAGTCTCACAAAAGTCTTTACGATGAAGAACATTACAAAACTTCATCGTCAATGAGTGTAAATCAGGCAAAAATATATTTTAGGGTAGATGGTTAGATCTAACCTGTTTTCTAACCTCATTTCTACCCTCTTGAATTTTCATGAACTTTCTCAACAAAGTCTTTACGATGAAGAACTTTACAAAACATAGACAAGAAAGTTCATGAGAAAGTCTTTACAAAGTCTTTACGATGAAGAACTTTACAAAACATAGACAAGAAAGTTCATGAGAAAGTCTTTACGATGAAGAACTTTACAAAACATTGACAAGAAAGTTCATGAGAAATTAGACGAAGAAGTCTTTACAAAGTCTTTACGATGAAGAACTTGACAAAACATAGACAAGAAAGTTCATGAGAAAGTCTTTACGATGAAGAACTTTACAAAACATAGACAAAAAGTTCATGAAAATTCACGAGGGTAGAAAAGAGGTTAGAAAACAGGTTAGATCTAACCATCTACCCTAAAATATATTTTTGGGTCATTTACAAAACATAGACAAGAAAGTTCATGAGAAAGTCTTTACGATGAAGAACTTTACAAAACATTGACAAGAAAGTTCATGAGAAAGTCTTTACGATGAAGAACTTTACAAAACATAGACAAGAAAGTTCATGAAAATTCAAGAGGGTAGAAAGTGTCATTATACATCTGTCAAAAACCGCTTTTTAACTTCACTTAAAATGCCACGTAAGCTACGTAAGAATATACGTAAGAGGAAGGGAGCATTGAAACATCCAAAAGTAAAACTGACACCACAACAACAGTTGCAACAACAAATGCTGAATGACCCCACTATGTTGCAACAAATGTCAAGCAATCCTATGCTTTTAAACCGAGTTGTTGGTGCACAGAGTGGAGGTTTAAGAGCGGCACTTTTAGCGAAAATGGCAGGCTATGGTGGAGCTGCAGACGGAACAGCCTATAACCCTCAAAGTCAAATGAATTTGAGTTCACTCAAAATCAAATAACAGATGTCAAAAAGTCAAACATAGACATACAGAAGCAAATAAGTGAAAACGAAAAGAAACTAGAATATGACAGACACACAAGAAACTCAATGAGTTAAACGTAGAGAAAAAGAAGAAAGAAGAACAACTGAAAGAACTAAGTACAGAGGAATATGCGAAAAAAGTGTCAGAAAAAGCAGCAGAAGTAGCAAAAATGGAACAAGATGTTATAAATTTGAAAAACCATACTACTCAATATAAAATACTGAAAGATGAAGAGATAAAACAAAAAGCCCTGAAGACATATATGGATAGCGATGAGTATAAAAAAGAAGTTGAAGCAAATGTAAAGGCAGAAAAACTTTTACAGTTGCAAAACCAAACCGTACAGTATGAAAACTTAGCACAAGAAAGTAAAAATAACGACGCAGCCATGCAAAAGGCAATGAAAAGCGCAGAATATATAAAAGCTAACAATGACTGGTTAGATGCCCAAGCCAACGCTAAAGCAGCCCAACTCATAGGGTCAATAAGGACAAAAATACAAGCGGATGAAGACAGTTCAAATGAAGCTTTAACAAATGCTGACTTTAAGAACGCTTTCGAAGCTCTTCATAGTAAGGTGAAACAAGTGAACGACTTCTCATCTGGAAAGAAACTGAAGTCTGAAGGTTTCGACAAAGAGTTAAAAGAAGTAGCACAAAATATGACGAAAATAACAGATGCAGCAACGAGACAGGCAGTTCAAAGTGCCTATGACGCCGTTAGAGCAACTGTTGTGAAAAGTCAAGAAAAAGAGTTACAACAGACCAAAACAGACCTAGTAAATGCTTTCTTAAGAACGAAAAGTCAGGTAGGACATTACGCTGCAGATGGAACATATGTGCCAGCTGGTGGAACTTATATACCACCAAACCCTCCAAGAGAAGCACCTGCACCAGGACTACCTAAAACATTTACATCGTCACATGGACATAGACACAGGCATGCACCAAAACCAACACAACAACCACCTCCACAACCAGCACAACAACCAACACAACAACCAGCACAGCAACCAACAGTTCAAAACCCTGCACAACAACAACCACAAACAGAGCAAGGACATAAAAGAAGTAGAGAACAAGGAAACCAAGAATTCTTAAAAATGCTTAAAGAAGAGTGTGGTTTCCCAGATAGTATTGACTTTAGTGACAGATATAAAGAAGCTATTGGAAAGTTCAAGGATGGAAATACTGACCCGAACATATTTAGCTTTATGGCTCAACACCAAAACGGATATAATCTCAAACCTGGAAAATACAAGCTCGCTAAGGGATATGATTTAATAGCATATCATCCAAATGACATGGATGAATTTACTCCGAGATATTTGATGTCAGAGCTAAATGACAATTCAACTTTCGTCATGAAACGCGTAAAAAATAGAGACGGAACGAAAGAACAAAAGCTTATGAATGCGGATGACGTAGATAGGGAAATTGTTGAAAACGGTCTCGGAATATATGAAATGCCAGCAGATGAGGTACAAGAAACTCCACAGGAAGAACTAGTTCAGATACAACCAGACATGGAAGAAATAGTTCAGCAACAACAGCTAGAAGAGCCTGAAGGAAACGAACAAGTCCTTCCTTTGGAAACTAACTTCACAGAACTAGATGAAGATTTGGAACAGCCGAAAAATCTTGACCCTCAACAAGAGTATGCGGAGAATATGGAATATTTCCAAGAGTCTAAAAAAAATTCGGCTGACATAGTAGAAGAATATCGAAAAATGTTTGCCGACATACAAAAGACTCCAGCACCAGATGAAAATATTCAGCATAGAATGGAAGAACTGAAAAAAATGTACACAAATACAACAACCCTTTTTACTTACGAGCATTTAACGTTCAATCTTCGGATGAACTCGGTGAAGATAAAAGGTTAAATTTCAAGAAAACATATAGAAATGAAACATTGTTTAAAGTTCATTCAGAACCTAACCAAGATGGAAACAAACCTACTTTTGTTTCTGCAGACGATGGAACTACAATGAGATGGGGTCATAAAGCTAACCCGGATAGGTGGTTCATAAACTTACAACCACAATTCCAAGAAGTTGTAGACGCAATGGAAGTCAATGGTGAACCAGATATAGCTGGTATTTTAGCGCGGCTTTAATGCCATTGAAAGATATGAAACATGCAGATATTTTGGACCAGTATGAAATGAACATGGCTGATGGAAATATAACACCTGACGTTCTAGAACATTTATCTCAAAGAACTACACAGAACCATAGAGATGGTATATTTGGTGAAGAGTTTAGAAAGAAAGTTAGGGAGGGAGAAGGAAGAGAACCTATTGTACATGACCTTGCAAACGAAAGTTTACAAAATGTCATAAAAACTTACTTTGCAGACAATGAACCGAGAAGGGATGAATATTTAAGAAAACTCAAATGGACAGTACCAAATGAAATGTTAGTATTGAAAAACATGTTCCTTGACAAAATAAAACCAACTACAGAAATAAACGACGCAAGACTGAAAGATTGGGTAAAAGCTTTCCCATTCACAAAAGATATTATTGGTAACATGGAAAGAAAACCAGAATGGCTACAAAAACATATATTTGGAAACGAGCATATTCCATATGGACAGGCACTGTTTGAAGAGCTTGAACCGGAAACTCAGGAAAGAGTCATGCAAACAATACGCGAAGACTCAAATACAGACTATGACAAACTCTTTCTAGGATATAGGTTACCTGAGATGGGCGACCAGAGCCAAAAGGCAAAAAGGACATGGGAAATTTGCAACATACTAGATGAACATAATGCAAAGATGCAACAACTTCAAGCAGAGGGCAATGAAGGAAAAAGAAGAGTTAAAAACTCAGTCAGGAAGAAAGTAAAGCTTGGTCCACGTGGGTTCTATTATGACATATAAATCCAACTATTCTATATTTTTACTCATATGAAATGTACGCCGCTCAGAATATAACGCCAACAGTTTTGGATGCTATGAATGGAAATGTTTCCGAATGGTATAACGAATGCGACAATGCCATTAGAAGGTCAGAAATAGTTCCTGGAACTTACGAATATACAACTGCTGTTTCTTATGGAAACGTAGGTGAGTTTGGAGAAGGTTCTTCAACAACAGTAGATATTGCTTGCGACAGGTTTCATATTATTTCTATTGACAACTCTTTCTTATACGTGGAACAAGACATTGAAATAAAACCTTCTGCCAAGTTGTCTGACAAGAAAGGTTGCAATGGAATTTTCTATGTCGGATACCAATATGCTCCAGAAGTTTTCATGGGATATAAGATATATTCTAACTCTGACTTAGTTCAAACAGTAACATGGGCAAACTATGAATGGTTCGCTTTGAGAAACTCAGTACAACCACAAGCTAGAGAACAAACAGACCAGTATGCAACTATTGAGAAAATAAGAAGACTTGACCCTAACGTTCCAGGAGTTTATGTTGACCTTTCTGGACAAACTGCAGCAGCAGTAACCAAAGTAAAACTGAAACTTAGAGTTCCTTTGTCATCTTTCCTCATCTTCAGGTTTTTAAGATACTTGCCAAACTGGGCAGGAAAAATTTCTATCGAACTTACTCCAAGCAAAAATAACTTAGTCATTGCACCAACACAAGACCCATTCACTCTTACAGACGTAAAGGGAGCAAATCAAACGTCATTCGCCGACTTTTGCAAAGACAAAGTTGACTTAGACTTTGGTTTCTCAAACCTCAACACTGAAGTAAACTATTATTTCAATGCTGCTGGAACTGCTTGGGACCCAGTTAAGTTCACATGCGAAAAGTTTGAATGCAAGAGAATAGAAAGCAGACTTGCAGTCTATATGTTGGACCCAGATATTTCAAATGCTTTAGCTGCCAAATATATTGCAGTTCCACTTATGTTCCCTATACACCAAATATCTGTCAAAGACTTTGCAGGTGAAGTTGGAAACCAAAGTGCTGACCCAGGTGCAAGAACAGATATTGCTTTAACAACTGCAATGATGCAGATACTATGTTTGTACTGTTCAGACGAACTATAAATGACTATTCTTGCTTCTACAACCCTGGTATTAAATACCATATAAACATAGATGGCAAATATTATCCAAGAGAAGAATATTCTACAGTTGAAGATTGAGGTCATACAACTTGACATTAGATGCTATGAACTTTAACAACAACTTCACAACAACCATTAACCCTGAAATGCAAAGTTCTATTATGCCATATGTGAAAGTATGGACCCATACAGGAGCTCAAAAAACTCAATATACAAATGGAGACCGTTCAAACTTTTGGCTTGGCATTCCATTTGCTGACTCAGAAGACTTTATGGGTGGTATTTCAACTGTTGGTACAGTTCAAATACAATATACTGGTGACAGAGACGGTCCAAATGAATTGAAAGCAAAGAAGTTTACAAAACCAATAGCACTTTTCACGAAGATGCTCTTTTGAAAATTCGTTCGATGAAACCTGCTGGGGCTCCTCAGATTGGTATAACGACAGCTTCCATCGAGCAGATTTTGGCAGCAGGTCAGTAAGTTGTTCTTGAACTGACTTCTCTCCGTCAAATATTGACAGTACGCCAGTTTTGACATAAATTGTAAGATAAACTTACCTTTAGAAATATCGGTCAGTTTTGTTGTTATATTTTTGTCTGCTTCAAGAACTTTCACCATTTCAGTTATACAACTTTCTTTGCTTTATGAAAATATTTTGGTTCAGCAAAGACTGCTATTCTATAACATTTACCATTGTTTGTATAAAGAACTATTCTGTCAATGTATTTGTATTGTTTGTGTGTGTAAACTTTGTTTTGCTTCAATTCGAAGAGATACTCAAATACGTCCATCTTTTTATTCTAAGTAAATGTCATTTCCGAAAAATAGAAGCGTAAGTGTTTCAAAAGTTTAATGGCGGTGGCAGATGTGAAGTTAAATTCACCAACTCAAACAAACAGTCAAAGTGTTGTTGTCAATGTCAAAGAAAGATGTTGAAGTGGGGAAACCATACGAAGACGAAGATGGTATAACAATAGTTCCTGTAAAAGAACAACCAACATACCCTGAAGTTAGCAGAGACTTAAGTTCTGTTGCAGATATTCGAAACGACTACCAACTTAAAGACAAACTTAAAACTCAGGAGAAGATTTGTCAAGCTTTAGGTATAATGTTAAACTTGGTCGAACACAACCCTGTAAAAGTGAACTCATATGTCATTGCACCTCATGAAATTTTGAAAGAACTATTGAAACTTTTGACAGAGGCAGACGATATAAACATCAAAGAAATAGAACCCGACATTGCTTGCTGTGGTGTTTCATACAATGTCATTGACAAGATATACGTTATGAAAGGAGGTGAAACGTTGAACTTAAAATATAGTTTCCCAGACGTCATAAAAATATTTGACGACCACAACATTTCATTAAAATTTACTTGCTAAGTAAAAATGGCAGAAGACATAGTGGTTTATACTATTACGACTAAAAACCCAGAGTCATATAATTCTATAACAACAAACTTACAAAGTCCTCAAGGACGATATTGTAAACTAACCTTAAACACAATGACGACTAAAGGCCTGTTTTGCTCTTTTGACACCAGAAGACTTTGTTGTTGTGAATGGTAAAAAATACTTCTTTGAAGATACTTACTCAGATATACCACCAACAGGTTTTGTTGACTTATTTAATACTTTAAGGACGGATGTAACATGTGCTGCAACTAGAGCAGGTTTCATTATGTTTGGATGTCCGACTGAGTTTACTATAAACGATATGAGCTATAATACAAAACTTATATCTGGTTTTTACTACCAACAGTTTCCTATAACAGGAAAAGGTGTCATACAAGGAATGTCTGTTCCATTGACTTTAAGTACACCAATCTTATATATTGTTTCAAACTTAGGTTCAAAGTGTTATTCGAATGTCGACAGAAACTACTATGACCAAAAGATACTGCGTATAAACAACACTTTCTCTGCTGGTTTGCCTATTGTTCATTCGAATGCAGAGTTTTCAGCTTTAGTAACTCAAACACTTTAGCAAACATAAACTTAACCTTAGTTGACGCAAACTTTGTTCCTGTAAAACTTTTATGTCCTATGTATTTGTCAATGACGGCAGAAAGTTTCGAATTGGAAGATGCAACTGGTGAAAGTATTGTATTACAAGAACAACTTCAACAACAAATAGCTCAAGAACAACAAATGCAACAAATGGAACAAATGCAACAACAAAGTCAAGAATAAAAAAATATTTTTTTTTATTTTTATAAAAATGTACAGAATAGATGTTTCAGATTTTTATGACTTCCAAGCGTTCAGAAATATGTGTCCATTTAGAGACTATAACAAAGCAGTCGAGAATTTGAAACGTTTAGTCATTTATGTTGACTCTGCCCCAGAATGTTATGTCATGAAAGAATGGGATGTTGTCTTTAACAAACCAAGAGCAACAATAGTTTCAGAACAAGAATGTAGACAGAAACTTAAGAAAATAAAAGTCGTACAAGTTGGAATGAAGATGTTAGATGCTTGGGATATCTTATTGTCAAAACTTGAAGATTTTTCAGTTCGTGGTATAAAGTTCTATACACCTTCTCCAAACTTCTATTCTATCTTCACTGGATATAAATACGAACAAGTAGAATGGAAAGAAAATGTTATAGAAGCTTGGTTAGACCATGTCAAAGAAATTATATGCAATGGAAACGAAAAGGTTTATGAGTATATCTTATGTTGGTTTGCAAACATCTTACAATATCCAAGTGCTAAAAATGAAACTGCTCTCATCATAATTGGAAAACAAGGAACTGGTAAGAACACTTTCTTTACAGATATCTTATGCAAACTGTTAGAGGGCTATTCGAATCCGAATATGACAAACTTAGAAAACATCTGCGGTAAATTTAACTCTTCAATAGAGAATATGAAACTTATAGTATGTAACGAACTTCAAAGTATAGATACAACAAAGGTTTTAAACTCAGATGCTTTGAAGAGTCTTATAACAGACAAAGTTGGAGTTGTTGAAAGAAAATATAAAGACCAAAGAGTTTGTGAAAATGTTGCAAATTTCATCATGGTTTCAAACAACGCCGTTCCGATGAAGTTAGAAAGTTCTGACAGAAGATATGTAGTTGTCAGAACGTCAGATTCTCATATGCAAGATACAGAATATTTTGACGACTTAGCAGAAACCTTAACATCTGACTTTTACAACCATTTGTTCTCATATTTCATGACATTAGATATTTCAAAGTTCAATCCAAGACAAATTCCATATACCGAAGAAAGACAAACGTTGTTAGAAGCAAACAAGAGTGTATATGAACTGTTTATAGATGAAACCGACTTTGAGTGTTTAGATGAAAGGTCATTGTACGATTCATATAAACAATATTGTCAAGAGTATGGTTATATGGCAGCTTCTAAACGTACATTCTTGGCAAATGTCAAAAGTCTTTTAGATGTTCAGAACGGCGTATATACAAAGAAAAATTTTTCTGAGTAAATTTAAAAAAAATATTTTTTTATTTTATTTGAAATGTACGCTGAGTTTGTTGGAAAAGACCTAGATAACGAAAATAGATATGCGCTATTCTGGTTAGATTGTCCTTATGAAATGTATGAAAAAAAGGCTTTATATGAAGAATATAGAAAATTTGTCATGAAAACGATATAAGACTAAGCTCTAGAGAAAAATTCTATGCTGGTATAAAACATCTTTTCGAAGTTCGGAATGGCAAATATAGAAAGAAATAATTTTTATGAGTAAATTTTAAAAAAAATATTTTTTTATCCGATAGAAAAGATGACGAAATATATTTCAGTCAACAAGTATATGTCAGGAGTTAAAGAAGAACTAGACCCATTCGCTTATTTGAATGTTTACTTCTACCATTTTGAAAAGTCTACATTTGACAAAGTTTGGAACATCGAACCAGTTAAGTTTGCTATTGTGACTAAAAATGGTGCGAAATTTGAAGACTTAGACATAGAAGGTTTGTTAGCAGTCAAAGAAAATTTTGACAGAAGGTTCTCAAACCTTAAAGAAGGCAAAGCATACAAACTTGTTATACCTTATGAACCAAAGAAAGCAGACGACTATGAATATTATGAGTCTAAGATAGTTGAAGTTCAAGGTAAATTGGGTAAAAAGATTTTAGAGTCTAAGCCAGTGTTTGCTCCTAAAGAGGAAGAGAACATTGACATTGACCCAGAAATGTTCTAAAAATAAAATTTTATTTTTACATGTCAAATTTCTTTTTCTCTGGAACTGGTTCAGGTTCTTTCTTCTCTTCTTCTACTTTCTTCTCTTCTTTTACTTTCTTTTCTTTCTTTTCTCTCTTCTTCTTTCTGGTGGAGTTATGTCAAATTTCTCAGAACCATATTTATGTAAAAGTTCTTTGTCCTTTAATAGCTCATCTATTCTGTTTTCTATTTCATCTTCAAGAACAGCGCATGTGCCTTCTTTGCATTCTAAGAACTTTTGTTGGACTTCATCTTTCCAATCGGCGTCATCTCTGTCAACAAGTCTGTCATTGACAAATTTTAAGACTGCTCTTTGTAATGTTTTATGGTTCTTGTCATATTCCCAGAAACAGAACTTTAGAACAAATTCACCTTTCTTGTTTACACTATGTAAGATTTTATGGTCGACAGAAGTTTTGCTGTCGAAAAGTTTGTCTCGAATATAGATAGCGAAATCGCTAGACATTTTCAAAAAGATAAAAATTTTAATTTTTCTAAAAATATGTTAGAAAAAAAGTTTGCTGACATTGACAAGAAATTTGAGAATGTTTTGAAGAAGAACAAGAGGAAGTTGGAAAATGCTCAGATAAAACCCATACATGACAAGTTCTTATTTGCTCAGAATGGTATAACAGG